TCTGCAGGGGGAGGAGGCACATGCTCAGTGCTTCTGGCTTTCCCTCATTGGGAGATCTACATTTGCAAAAGGATTTGGTTGTTATCCAGTATTTTATACAGAAATCTTAGACAACGATGAAAGCCATACACCTTTTTTCCAGAAAAAGCAGGTGGATGCAAGCCTGTGCATGCATGTATGTGTGCATATATACACATTTCAAGTGTTCTTAGACTCTTAGGTAAGAACTCCTGAGTTCTAGAAGAAAGTATAACTTTTAGCACCAAAGTGAGAGCAGAAAAGGTTTCAGGTCATGTTGAGAGGCCGACTACACCTTAAGGCCTGGCTCTTCTCTGACCTAACCAGCTGGCTGATCTGAAAGGCTCATGTCTGTTTTAAGCACAGGTACTTGAGAGGCATCTTTACCACCAACACTGTACTGGGTTTGGGGACAGAATGCCAGGAGGCACAGCAGCTCTGGACACTTTTGTCCAATGCTCAGTTGTGAAGGAAGAGAGTAAAAGGTCCCGAATAGTGTGTGTGCTATGGCTCAGCACTACCTAAGTATTCTGACCTTTCATGGCTCATTTACACTTCACAACCACTCTATAAGCTAGAGACTACCATTCTGCTTTAGTGGATGAGGATCATAAAACTTAGGGAGTTAGTTAAGTAATTGTTCAAGGTGATCCAGCTAGTAGTGGCACTGCAGGGATCAAAGCCCAGATTGCTCAACCATCGGAGTCCAGCTGCAGTAGTCAGACCCATTACTGAAGAAATTCTGTCTAGCCCATTCCCACAGTATCTGTGCCAGCCTAGGGGGAAAGCAGGTTGGGTACTGCTACATGGGCATTTCCGGTCTTATACACTATGGTTCCACATATGTTCAGGAAGTTCTTCATTATCCTTCCTACACTTCCAGGTTTATGCCAACTTTGCACTCTAATGGGATCTGTACCTAAATTATTCCCGTGGCTTAACAATGTTTGAATTTAATTTCTTCAAGGCCCAGTTAATCAACATCCTTCTTTCTCTGTGCTGTCTTCCCTAACCCTCTCCCACACCAGGCCAAGATGACAGTTCCTCTCCTGCACAGAGGCTAAAATAGCATCATCTTTCTCTCTCCCGTAGTCTGGCTTTGATTCGGATAATCCTACATCACTCCATCTTGACTGGGAGTCTTTTCATGTTCAGGCTGGTGTTCAAACACATGGGGCCCCAAGTCACCTAGCCCAGTATCCTGTATAAATCAGGTATTTCAAGTTATTCTTCTTGATGATGATGGCAATGATGATGATGATGATGATGATGATGATGCCAACATTAGCTGTACAGATAGGAAAACCAAACCCTGTGGTTAAGGACATTTCCAAGGCCATAATACAGTTCCTTGCCTTATGTGGTAGGCAAGATTTCTCCTCCCCACCAGGCCCCGGCCTGCTCTAGTCCTCAGTCCCACTGAATAGGGATGCCATGTCTGCCATCCAGTTCACCAACCACAGCTGCATTATGCAAAAGGGACAGAAGAATAAAAGACCCATGAGACAACACTGTGGCTTTTCAAACAAGTATGTATGCTCTCTTATTTAATAGCAGTTAAAAGAGGAAAATGTATAAGAGGAATAAACATGCTCTTTCCACAGAAGAACTTTCCTCTAACCATGCAGGATCATCTGCATCAGTAGCTTTACTAGTAAGTTTCAGAGAAAAAGTTCCCTTTTGAGTTAAAAATGGACTTTACTAAATTTTCTCTATAAATGTGCAACTATCTGTGCAAAATAAAAAGGCCATTTCCAACAAATGAGTGAAAACTAATTGCAAATGCAGGCAAAAAAAGAAAGAAGGAAGGAAAGAAAAGAGGAAGAAGCAATTGAAATAGTCAGTAGAAGAGTCCTGGGAACAGGGAGGCAAAGGTATGTGTGGGGATTTCTGTAGCAGGCCCAAGGGAGTGTGCTCAGAGGCCTGATGGCTAATGTCAATCCTGGGGGATAAAGGACCCTGGGTCTGGGACTTGCTAAGTAAGCACTTGTCAAATGTACAGTGAAGCTAGCCTGACTTTGAGATTGTTAGGCCCGGTATGTGATAAGAACACTGGACAATGTGTCCTGGAAGCTGTATGTTCCCTTTGCCAACAGGGACTCTGCTGGTTTCAATGTTCAGGTCCTGTTCTTCTTTAGCTCCAATAGCTTCACTTATAGTCTGCTCAAAGAGGTTTTCCTATGAATGTTAAAACAAGGTAATTTCTTATATCACTATCCAAACTCACTAGGATTCCAAATCAGACTTTTCCTTCAGGAACATAGACCTGGTTCCCCCAAGAACTTGGCCAAAAGTTCATACTGACCGAAGACAGGTAGGCTTCCAGTCACCCATGTTCTTTCCCTGTTATTGAGACCCTCCAGGGTACTTAATTCTACATCTGTGGACATTTGGGGCTAGACCTGAGGAGTCTGAGGGCACTCATGGTTTGTACAAGTCCTCTCAAGGGCCCAGCTACAGGCCTACAGACAAAACTGAAAACATTCCACTTCTCCAATTCAAAAAACTTTGACATTGCTGTTTCCTATTTTTACCTTCCCCAGCCCCACCAAGAGTACATCTCTATGTACAACTCAGTAGCTGCATGTTGCTTTTGTTAAAAAGAGTGAAGACAGACTGAGAAAGAAGAGGAGGTACACCAGAGGGGCCATTCTTATGAGCCTGGAGCTTGAATAAGTTTTTCTTTCATGGGACTTCTGTGTTGAAGGTGAAGAGTAACCCCTTTTCCTCCAACCTGTTCACCTTTTCCTTTCTGTAGTTCCTCCAGGGTAGAGATCTGAGACCAGACCAGCAATGATGACCTTCTAAAAAGACAAACACTATGCTTACACTTCTCTCCATTTCTACTTCAAAGCTGAAGAAATCTTGCTGCAAACTGGGTAGCAGTGAAGGAGGGTGTTTTGGGTTCTTCAGATTATAGTAACCATTACTCTTCAAAAAAGACCAGGTCTTAGAGACGCCACCTTGGCCCCCGCCTTCCCTTGGCTTATCAAACTCTGTGAGGTAGTGCTCATCCCTGATCTTCATCCTAAAACTCCTCTTAGGTTGAGCCCCAGGGGTGTTCTGCAGAGCTCACCTGCAGCCTGCTCTTTCTAGCTTTGAGGAGGGCTACATGTTTGTGTGCTCCTTCTCTTACCCATGATTTTTCTGATGTGATAGGACATGGTAAGGGTAGGGGTGGGGAACAAAAAATGAAGGACTTCCCTTCCCAGAAGCAACTCAGGAGGTGACAAAGACAGTGAAGAATTCTGTTTGATGAGTCTCTCCTCTCACTAATCCAAGCTGGAAATGCCTATGTGGCTTCTTTGTCATTGTTTGATGATACACAATTATATTCTTGCCAGTAGCCAAAGCTGCATCTCCCTGAAGTGTCTTAAAGTGCAGTGTCCTCTGACCTCATAAAAAATTCCTTGCATTGAGTCTGGAGCCCATCTGGGACAACGGAGACAGCCTCCAAACTAAGCTGGTTTGGGGGTTTGGGCTCCAGAGTTTGGGGGCTCCAGAGTTTGGGGGATAGGAATATATGCAATCTTTCTTAGACAAGGCCAAAAGATGGCTTTGGGGAACTCAAAAGAGGATGGAAGCCTTGGGCTTGAGCAAGAAGAGCTTTACATCTAGGATATAACTTAGTTGGGCCAGAGGCAACAAGACACAGCCAGGGTCTTGGGGGTCAACTTCATGGTGACAAGGGGCTCCATCCCTAGAGGTATTCAGTCCTGCTGTGGCTACCCCCACAGTGCAGAGCTGGTAGTGTTTCCTGTAAAAATGATGGCAAAAAAGCTGGGTTTAAAATACAAAGGAAAAATCCAAAGTAATCCTTAGGCTTTACCTAAGGGTAAAAGTAAGAGCCATTTTCAGGCTTCTGAAATCTGACCTGTCTTAACGACATTGCTGGTGGCAGTCAAGTCTGAGACTCTCTGTGAGGACCTATAAAAAGAACTGCTGGGCTTGGCGCCTGTGGCTCAAGTGGCTAAGGC